TCGCCCACATGCGATTCGTTCCTGGTCAGCACTGGACTGCTGCGACTTGTGGATTTGTTTCATTTGACACAAAAAGAGCGATAATAATAATAATAATGCAATAATAATAATAATAATAATAAGGAAGATCCAAAAATCTATACAAATGACATTGGGTCTCCTTTATCCGATTCATTAGAACAGAGAGAAGACAAATACTTTGAGAAGTTCACATTTCTTTTAAGCTCCTCAATCGCCACAGTGTAAAACAATCTGGTATTTATAGAAACAAATTTTGATAACTGCAGTGGTTAAACGGACAAAATTCAGAGAAGCGGAATCAGCAGCATTGCCAAGACAGTTTTACTGAATTCGTCACAAACTTTTGCACACATACTACTGAATTACGTAACCTGATTAGTGTTGTGTCACTGAAGACTGAGAGCCTAAGATTCAAATTAAGTAATAACGGCTTGAATGACAAAAGTGGGTCATCGATGTGCCAAAAGATGTTTTGCGATTTATTGCCTTGGATTTCTCTTAGTCAATTGACCTTCGATATTTTGTTGCACAATCCCGTACGAGCATTTTTAGAAATATTAAGCTTGGATTAGCCCATGCGATTGTTCAGAGGCACCAGGCACTCCTGAAGGTCCCAAACAGGACGAAACAGCTGCCCACTGCTCTTAGTTGGTTATCGCAAACAGTAACATCGCAGTAAAATACCAGCTGGTTTTACGGTGTAGCGACTGAGGAGATTATAGAAATGTTAACATCTCATAATATGTTTGTCTTGCCTCTGAGCTACGGAATCATTTCATAGGTTGATTTTTCAAAAATACACAAAAATTTGAACAGTGACCGTTTTTTAAGAAAATCGCTTTCAATAATACCGATGCGTTCAACGTTCTTACGCACTGATGCGCGCTGCGATACGTCACATTTGGAATATTGCAGACAAATGAAAGTGAGATAAATTTGAGGCAATGTGTCAAGGTTGAGTAGTATGTGGGAGGATGTTGTGTACAAACTTTTCATCTTTAATAATGAGTAGCATACAAACCTTGGCAACTAATCCGACACAATTAATCAATCATGTATAACTGACAACGAGTAGTTCGAGTCTAAAACACTCACGTGTTTCACTCTGTTTGATAGAAAAAAAGACGAGATAGCAGTTGAGTGAAATTTTGAATATAAGTGGAAAAACTGTAGTGTCACTTGTGTGGCCTGGAGCTGTTAATTTTCCTAATTTCTATATTTTGTAGAAAAATCAGTGGGGCTTTCTCACAAGACAGATAGAGTAGTGAAACGTAATGTCAGTTCTAATTCCAGAGAAATCAAAATTATTGGGAATAGTTTGACTTATGATCGAATCCAACGCATACTTCGGATACTGACCGATTGAATTTGCAAATAAACTTTTTACATGAATAGAGAATGATTAAGGAGAAGGAACTATTTCCTAGAAGCACTCCAGATTAATTTAGCATCGGTCCGGATCAGTTACGATCCTGATTAGAGGTGAGTATTCGCAATGCTTTTGGCTTTGAGCATGACGGTTGCACGAATAGAGTTTATAGTCAGGAAGTAATCATAAAAATACAGTTTACATATTTTATTGAGATTTTCAGTGTGTTGGTGATACAACAATAGAAAAGGAAAGCAACAGAAGCTCAGTTGTATTTATTGGTTTTGTATGAGCATGAAGAGGAAAATTGTCCAAAACGTTTACACATACGATAAGAAGACCAAAATTGGCTTAAAATAAACTAAATATAGCATTATTAAGCCTAATATGCTCAGCGGACATCACCTGTACAAGGAAAAGCAACTAACCTGTCCAAATCACCTCCGTCCCCGGCGCCCATAATTTCCGTTTTTCCACTTCGCAAGCTCAGTTGGGTCTGCAATCGTCCTCTTCTTGCATCGCCGGAGCTCATTTCATCAAACTGTGTATCGGTACTTGGCAACACTTCTTCGCTTCTTTGAAAACTGGTTCGTGTCTTTTTATCTGTTATGAATGCCAAACAACAATCAGTAATAAACAGCGCACAGACAAGTGGGAAATGGGATTCTACGTTTATACTACTCAAACATTTGTCAGTAGGTAGAAAAAGGGAAAACAAATAACCGAGATTATTACTCCGTCCTGGTTTTAATGCAAGTTTTAGTGCATCATTCAATAAATGTCTTTTGCTCGCACTCTCTATCGTCTGATTTGAAATCACAAATACTTAAATCCATTTATATATAAAGTTCTACTGAATTTGATACAGGGAGCCTGAAAGACGCCTAAAAACAGCGCTAACCGAAATTAGTTAAACGAGGAACCTAATATGACACTGAAAATGATTCATTCGTACAACAGAAAAGTTGTCCTGACTAGAACGCGATGTAAACAACCGTGAAAAAAGATACTTGCAATGAGTTTGTTTCAAACCGATTCAGTTGTATGAAAGATGAACGAACGATCTGTCACAGGCTATTTGGGCCTTTGCGTGAGCAAAGTCTTCTTTCTCACTCATTCTGTGAAACTCATCCCCTTCGGATTTAAACAAACCAAAAGAAACGTTTATGCGGATAACATCAGCTACTTGGGAACACGCAAGTCTGACATTTATCACCATTCAGCAGCATTGTCACACAAAATCCAGGGATGCACAAACTGTTGGAATGAACATTCGTTTTCGACCTCATTCAACCGTTTTTATTCAAATATCATGTCTATTTGCAGTTTGTCAAAAATTAGGGATCCTGTTAGCGTTATTGAAGTTATTAAGATTATTCTGTGAGGAACTGAACACACCTAAATTGGATGTGCTGCTACTTTTATGCGATCGACCGAGAACAGTGGAAAATTTATGACCGATGCTCGGTCTTGGTTTTCTTCCATCTCCTCTTGAGGTTGGACCAGACATTTGAGATGATCCGGGTGTATCTTTCATCCCGATTCCTGATTTTCCGTACATCGTGCCCATAGCACCTCCACTGCCCATCGAGGACATGACCATTCCAGATCCGCATTCGGAACTGCTGGACTCTTTAGCCAAACGTCCCTCGTCCCGTTGGCCGGTGGCCAAACGTCGTTGCCTCAACGAGAAGTCATCACTAGTGTCGTCTGGTTCTTGTGGACGATCCGACTTGCTCGAACTTTCTGGGCTGATTTGTTGATGCAACTCGACGGGAAGGCGACCAACGCCTCCACCACCAGCGCTGCCGCCGCCCATGGTAGCACCAGAACCACCAATACCACCACCACCACCACCTACACCACTGCCTGAGGTGTACTGCAAGCCAGGATAGTGTCCCCCAGGAGATAGCCGAGATGAAGTGCTATGAAATCGACCTTTTTCCGACTGAGAAGTGTGCAAACTCATACGAGATAACTCTGATATGTCGGATAGTTCTGAGACATCAGAATGAGCCATCAGTTCCTCCGGTCCGTAATCAGGACGACTAGGCCTAAAATTGAGAGCGGACGGAACGCATTGAAAACAATTAGCAAGAACTAGGAACAATTCAACATATGATTTGGATAAATAGTAACTTCTAGTGGGAGCAGTATATGCTTATTTATACTTTGATGGGTGGACCAGATCAAGATTACAATTTCAAAGACCAGGATGGGCGGTGGTGGCCCGGTGGTAACGTCATCAATTATCATCCCGGAGGACGAGTGTTCGAATCCCACCACCACCGCCTGACTTTCCCCATTTGTGTGTTGTATGGCAGCCCTCTGATTGGCCGCTTCCCCTTCCTGAAAATTGTATCTATGTATATTCAATAAAAGGAAGTCACATGAAAAGAAAAGAAAAAAATGTTGTGTGGTAGAATTCTACCACTGCAGCCGCCTAACTTTAACTCTGATGTAACTCAGGGCACCCCTTTGATTGGCTGCTTCCATCCCCCACCCCAACCTGAATTGTGTAAAAGGATCTATTCAAAAAATAATAATAATGAAAAAAATTTGCTACCATTACCAATACTGCCCCCTATTATTATTATTATTGTTATTATTAATGTGGCGTTGGCACCATGCTTGTTATATATATACATATACATATATATAATTAAGATTATTAATGCCAGTATAAACACTATTATTACTATTATTGATAAACACGTGCCTCGAATGACCACGACGTGTACGACCTCGATGATGTGATGGTCCACCGGAAGAGCCAAGCATCGATGAGTAGTGAGCGGCAGCAGCAGCAGCAGCAGTTCCATATGTCTTATCATCAATGTCCGAATAATCCCCTGAACGTGTGAGTCCCGTATCCATATATTCCGATTTGCCTCTACCGTCTGTAGACTGTCCGGTCAACGTGGCCCCCTCATTGCTCGAGGCGAGCTGCATGCGAGCTGCATCCGGATTGGTGAGAAAAGCGGAATCGAATGGTTAACTGGGTGTGAAGAGACTCAAATGCAAAAGCCATTTCGAATAAAGATTTCAGATCATGAACTACGACGGCGAGAGAGAAATATCACGTCTAACTCGGGCAGACTGCGAATCGTCAATACAGTCCTTACTAGGGGAACCAAGACCGCAGGGTACAAAGGTCAGTGTATCGTGCTCGACCAGGTTCACCTGATCAGCTGTTTGTTGTGTGTGAGTTGGACCTCAGAGACAAAAACCGTATGTAGAAAACGGTTTTCGCAAAGGAATTTCTTTTCGATATATCGCATCAGGCGTTTACATGCATGTAAGGTGATTATAGTACAGTTAGCTGATTGGCCGACAACAGAGAGCTCAGTTAGTAACAATGACAGAGGCAAGCAAGCAGAGCCAGTGAACATGACAAGGCTACAGTGACAGTCGTGGGTGGGGGCTACAGGACAAAGGTCAAATGGACAATGTTAAATAGATGGGCCAAACCGTATGGTCGAAGTGTGCGCATACAGTAAAATTCTGCAAGCTCTCCAGTTCACGTGTGCGCTACAGATTTCGTAAAAGATGTTTTTTTATCCATTAGCATAGCCACTACCTCTGGGATGTTTTGGCCCCTTCATTGCTCGAGGTGAGCTGCATGCGAGCTGCATCCGGGTTGGTGAGAAAAGCGGAATCGAATAGTTAACTGGGTGTAAAGAGACGCAAATGCAAAACGGCTTTGTCCTGCATTGCTTGTTATTTATTCGGTTCGCTGATCAGAAGCGATTTGCTAAAGTTGATAAGAAAGAGTTGCATGAAATGAACGACGGACTGTATTCAATGTTAGCAAATTCCTTTGAGCAATATTTCAACATTATTGATTGTTAAGCCGGTAAATTTCTAGAAATGAATATACATATTTGAAAAGGTGCTACAGACTAGTGGCCCTTGTGGTTTACCAGGCGATGCACATGAGTTCACTTCTAAGTGAGTTGATTGAAAAGAAAACAAATTACAGCTTTTTTCTCTGGAAACTGGAGCGTTTACAAATTCCCATTGGGAAGACTTAGATTAAATTGGGCTCAGTATACTTGCTCTAACATTTCTATGACAGAGGTGAGATGCATTTGCAATTGGATTGATGTCATTATCTGTTTGATAGAATTGGACAGAATAGTATCACTCCGTCTGTGTTCGGTTCTCAAGATTTCCATTTGTATCTTGAATTTTACGTTGATTTTATATTTTCTTCTCGATGATTACCGGTGGAGAAAATGACCCCACTACTCAACTACCAATCTGGGCAGTTTAACCATCTCGTCTTAGTACCACGTGATACAGAATCATTCCAACTCAGCCTTTTCCACGATAACACATGACTGTGGACTGTTACACCAACAGCTGATCTGATAAGCATAGTCACGTGCCAGTCTACTATCTATCGTATTTGGTAGACCGTTCACTGGTCCAGATTAATTGATACAGATATGGACAGTATAGAAAAATCTGAGGGGAATGCAAGCTGTGGATATGTTATCACTGATTTTCAGATAGTGATGAAATACACGGAATCTGTATTATCGAACCTGAGACAATACGGATTCGAATCAGTCTGTTCGCTTGAAAGATGACAGAGAACAAATAAAGACTATAGATCGCATACCCAGATTAAAGTTACACATTCACAACACGATCTCTGTTCTCATCTGATTCGTGATCAATCAAAAACGAGGTCTATTGGTTGCCCCAAATCACGGATTAGTTGGACATACACAGTGTTTTTAACTGTCACCAATCGAGACTAATGCGAATACAAACGGCTGTTGTTCGGCGAAGTTGGCTGTGCTTATTCGGTTTTACGCAGAGGACTAACTAGCACCGTCAACGTGCATTTTGACGATTATGAACGGTGTATCCAGTGAGCATCGAAATCATAGATAAACTGGATTTTATTTTTTATTTTTTTATTTTTGAAAATCAGGATATTAAACCAATCATTCTCTATCAGTTGATCACCAAACCCTCGTCCAATTAGAATGTGTTTAAGTATGTGTGAGTGGAAATAAGGATCATTCCAGTATATGTCTAAACGGGATGGGAAAATGTGAGGGAAAAGTGAACTATTAAGACAATTTATTTTACCTCGATATAGCATTATCTATTCATACCTGTTGATCAGAAACCTAGAAACACTCTAATCTGCCTACCGCTGGTTAGAATCTCTGGTGCTAGTCTTTTCCTACTTAAAGGTTAAAGTGGAATTCTGGTTCGACACAGGAACTCAAGCTTGACCAGTTTGTCGATAGTGGACAGACACACTGTGAACTAGTTGCCGTTATCTACCAAAACTCAGTACATAAAATTCTCAATAGTTTGAGCGAAACATATGTGATGCATGTGTATCGACTAGCCACAACCAAGGGTACAAAAACCACGAATTATTTCACCAAAACAGAAACAAATCAAGATGGAACGGTAACAATACATCTTATAAGAACTACATCAGTTGAAAAATCATGTTTGTTTACAATTATTTGATCACATGTGGTGTTTTCTTTCCGGAGAAGTGACGCCGCTTTTAGCAAAAAAGGCCTAACTGATATAGGTTTCAAACGACAGAGATTTACGAAATCTCACTCGCT